TTACAGTTGGCTTCGTAGTTCTGGACTGCCATTCTCGGATTTTTCACCGTGCACCGGAAGTTATCGTATAAGAGAAAATAGAAAACGTTGAAATAATCGTCTGCTCATGTTTTCTTCTTTGAGGCAGGTTTCAAAGACGAACGAGGGTGAAATCTCAGTCATGTTGATCGAAGACACCTCATTCTTCCACTCGTTTGTTCCTCTAGCTGGTATCGGAGGAAAGTCTGAATTATTACATCGGTCCTCTGTCGACGTCAAGCAGGACGCTATGGGGTTTGAAACAATATCCCCTGCATCAGTTTGAAAGTCAGGTACAAAGTGCTCTCTTTCTATCTTTTCCTATGTTGAAGCTTCTTTTCCCCCGCATTATTATGGCCAGACACTGTGACTTGCAGAAACTTTGGCCCAAGTTCGGCACCGCAATATGGTCTTTTATCCTTCGCTCTTCTGTTCAAGTCTTTAACTTTCTCCTGAAAGACGACCCGAAGTTACGCGGAACGACACCCAAAGGCATTCTTTCAGAACACGTCCACCATCGGTCTCAGAATCTTGGCGAACTTCGCCCTTGTTGCATTTCTCCCCGTACAACTACCGAACGTGTTTGTTTCTTTTATAACTTCCTATTACTGTTTTGTTTTTCCGATTACCCTCATCAATCTTCGCCTTTTTTAGCCAACATTTTCAGAGTCACTAATACCAATAACATTAGGTTGTTACGCCCCATCGATGTGTAAGTGACGTTCACTCACCTTCAGCTGGTACGCGTGTTTTTTCTACAATTTTTATGCACAACTACTACTTTCCGTTTAGCGTACGGTTTTTCTCCTCTCGAGTACGAAGAAAACTTCCGCTCGAAAATTTTGTAACCTCTGAGAGGTAAATTTCGAGCATGGCAAAGAAAATAGAAGAAAACGTGAAACCTGACTAACTGGGGATTTGAGTTGAAGACTCTTAAGTTGAAAACTCCATCGTTTATACGAAAGGCACGTTGAACTTTTTTTAAAAGTTAAAGCCTTTTATAATTTGTCACGCTGAATGCCTGTTAACCGATATACTTTCATTAAATTTAACGCAATTTCGACAAATTATTAATTTCTATTAAACAAAATGTCAATTATCAAACTTATTATATTTGATCATTTTCAAAATCTCTCGGATTCTTCTGCTTTTTTATTTCCGTGTTCTAAATCATCCTACAAAACCCTCACCAGTGCAGCGGTTCCCGCGTTTTGAAATTCACAACTCGTGTTTTTATTCGACGCTGTACTCGCGTATCGTGAATGCGATACGAGAATCCCCCGAACGTTCCCAAACGCGATTACAAATAGCAAACGTTTGAATAACACACAAGTCTAGCGACGTAAGGTTGGATGAAATACGTACACGCGTGTGCCTCCTATCTCGCCGAAGACAGAAAGAAAGAAGTGGAAAGGGGGATGCGCGCGGTTATAAAGCTCGGGTAATATTTTAACACGCGGCATTGTACTGACGGAATTGTAAAGGAAATAAATTATCGCGCCCAGGGGACCGGCCTCCCGCCGGTGTTTCCTCGTGGTCAGAACAATTCCGCGCAGAATCCACCTCGTCTCCCTCCCTTCCTCTTTCTCTCTCTCTCTCTCTCTCTCTCGTTCACCGTTTTCCTTGTTTTATCTCCCTGCCCGTTGTTTTCCAAGGTAGAAAAGTTGCAAAAGAAAAGGGGGGTGCACTCGTAAAATCGTGTTTTCAAGAACCGCCGCGTTATTCATCGCCGAAATATCGCGAGACGCTTTTTTATCGTTCGTGCTAGTAGTAAAACTCCTTTAAAGCGCGACGTGACGCTGAAATTGTTATTTATGGAAAGACACGCGCAGTTAGAGAGTGTATATGGATGAGATACTAAAACGAATATTCTCGATTCTTCTTCTGAAACGTTTTGACGAGGAACGGAAACCTTCATTGTCAGTCTTTCGTTGCAAATTTCTGTTGTTGCTCTCATGTCATATACATATGTATGAACGTATATATAATCGTATAGTACGGATGTTAGTTCAATACCTGGAAATCCTTGCATCACGCAGTTCGAGACAAACATGCCGCAAAATTACTCTATTCTGCGTGGCAATATTCTCGAATTTCATCAAGTCCGTTGTAATTTTTTATTTCTCCTATAAGTTTACCTTTTTAAAACATGTGCTCGATGTTATGAATGAAGTTGGGGAACAAACGAGGCAAACACTAGACGGAAAGTGGCGTGCCGAATTTCCAATTCTCTGTGTATTATCCCAGATTACCGTAGGAAACATGGCATTTTTTGAGATATCCGCTGATACCATGAAGCGGTACCGGAAGAGGATTAATTCGAGCACCCTAACCGTATGATGCGTCCGTCGCATTTGGGAGCCGCTACTAAGCTGCGCACCACCTGTGCCGTTTGAAATTGGATAAATAGCGTGGACAGCTCTCTTTGGCATGTCCGTGAGATTTTCCGCCACTTCTCATCGGGGATATCTCGCCTAACCGTGACGATAGTCTCGCCACCCACTATTTTTTCGCCCTTCGAGTCCTTTTTTGTTTTATCTCATCGCACTCGTCGACCGTAAAATTTTCGCAATTTTATGCTTCGACAAAATGACGTTACTCGTTGGCTATCAAATTCCCAAAATTGCTATTCCATTATAAATGATACGCTAAGCACTTGAGACATTTTTTGACAGACTGTCTAAGACGAACGAAAAGATGATTTATCAGATTCCGAAAGTCGTGACTGCAAGTACGTAAAACTGGCGGAAGCTCTTTCTCTTTGTGGATTCGCACAACTTGGCGAATTGCTCGTTGTTAAAACCACGCTCGTTTCTCTGGCATTTTCTACGACGTTTTGTGTTACGAAACGTGATTCAGGACGGAAAAATTGCAAACCGATCAGCATTCTTCTCGCGTATATTGAACAGTCAGAATTCAAAATTTCTCTTTATTCAGAGAAAATTTCAACGATATTATCGCATTGCCAAATGCAGTTTGACCAAATTATTTAAAACATGCTGTTTCAATTCAGAGTATTTACCAAGTTTAAATTGTAAACCAAGGAGACCTGTTTATTTGAAAAATATCTGGAAGACCTGTCCCTGACAGGAGTTTTCTGGCGTGCAATCAGACTACGTCGAGCTTTCCCACGTGAGAATTTCCGCCCCGTACGCTCCGAATACGAGCGTCAAAGGTTCTCTTTTCCGTAAGAGAAACGTTTGTCGCGCATATTTACCGTGGATTTTGAAGCGTGTGTGCCCGTCTCTCACGGCTGCGCCGCTTTCTTCGCGGCGATAAGTTGGGCGAACCCCCTCTCAAAGCTCTCTTTCATCGCGCTCACATATCTATCCACGTATAGAAATCGCGAATGGTTATGACAGTCGATTCAATGCTTTCCGCGCCTTTGGATGAGGCCAGGCGAAAACGCGAACGCCTTCAGGCTGTCGTTAATGCCATCGCGGTTGTCGACTGATCAGCGACACGGCCTGCCAGCTGCCATTGTGCCATTTTCGTGTCTTCGTACACCCATTCTAACATCCATTCTTATACGACGAAGAAAGCGTTCTTTGCAAGTAAATGTGAATCATACGAAAAAGACACGTTATGTGACAGTTTTCTGTTTTTCATTTTAAAATCCAATGCCTTGTCAACCAGTCACATACTACCAAAATTGGATTTTTATCGAATTTGGTTGTGGAGTTCTTTTCGAAACGTATGTACATCAAAAATATTGATTTCTTAGCTCTTTCGAAAGGTATTGATTCTCATACGATGGCTCTTACATAACACTATGTGAAATAGTTTTTAGTATTTGTGGGTTGAGAATAGGTCGTTCCTCTTTTTAAGGGAAGCGATAACTACTCCCTTTTTGACTATTAAATAACATGGAAGTTAAAGAAATCAACAAAATTGTGCTTTTCATACTTCTCCACTGCAATTTTCAAATCGTCTCAAGCATAACGCAGTGACACGATGAATGAAAGGAAATTTGTAACTTCGTTCTGTATAAACGTTCTCGCAAAGACAAACGACGACAGCGCCGAAATTTTATAGTTCATGATGGTGGTGCGATATAATAGAACAATTACCAACAAAGCTTCTCCGCTCGGCCATTTTTCCACTGGCTAAAAATTTATCGAAGCGAAGCCGACAAAACGTCCGAGAAATCGGCGCTCTTTAATTTCTCCACGGAAATAATGACGAGGGAGAGAGGGAGAAAGAGAGGGAGAGAGAGAGAGAGATAAGGAGCGAGTGAAATTAATTAGTGCAGTGCAACCGGTTTTTCCTAGCGTCCAAACAACGGTAAAACTTCTGTACGAAGTTTCTCATTGTACATGATATTTTATAATTAATAAGCGCCATGGGAATTTGCGTTTTCTTTGTTTATCGTTTCTGAACGCCATTACGACGTACACCAGTTCGCCTGCCAGATGGAAATAATTCCGGGATCAAAGAAAGAAAACCCATTTGTTTGGTAATCAAGCGCCAAGAACGTTTCCTTCGCTTTTCTGCTGAAATAACGTTCGATTTCAATTGAACGTTTTAATCACGTTGTGACTTTCGCGAAATGTATGAAAAGTCGCGTATCCTTTCGAACCTCTCAGCAGAATTTCATTCTTCGTCGATGACTTGGAGATTTTTTTTCAATAAACTTCTTCTCTCTTTCCTTCTTCTTCGTTTTTTTCTTCTTTTTTTCGTTTGGAGCTTGCAAGATTTCTCTTCATCGATTTACATTCATGCAGCACCCGTAGCTGCCTTCGTTGTATTTTTACTTCATTGTGTCCTCTCGCGTGGAATTCAGTAATGAAGCAGAAACGCGGCCCTTAACGTCGACAGGCTGAAAAGCTCGGTTTCCATTCGCCATCGTTCGTCGCGATTAACCAACTGAACACGCTCCGATCGCACGTTCGACGCCTTTCGGGGAAAAGCTACCACGGTGGGAGGAACACGTAACGCGAACGTGTTCCTATAAAATAACACACAATACCGGATGATTGCAGTGTTCAGCGTATCGAAACCCGTTGCGAGAACTTGCTGCCTTTATCCCGAGAGTAACGGTTCGATCAGAAGCATGCAGATTTATGTAATGCCTCGGAGGGCGGACCGTTTTCCCACGGCGATTGTTATCGCGGTAAGTATAATAACGGTCACGTCTCTCGTTTTCGATAGCGTTTTCAATTCTCGTTAAAACGAACGGTTTAAGTAACGTATACCGTCGTTAGTAAGTATTAGGGCACTTACCGATTCCGTATAGAACGTGCGAATTGAGTCGAACTATATATTTGTCTAAAACAATGTTTCAGAATACGTAAAGGAAAATTTACGAAAACTGTGATAATTAGTGAAACTTTTTATAATATTCTTTATATGACGAGGTTCTAAACGAAATATAATAATTGCAGATGTTTCAACGAGTTTCGAGAATTTTTTGTGGTTTATTTTATTTCCTGCAAGTGTCCTAACGTTTTTGATCGGGGTGTAAATATGAAACACGAAGATTTTTATTTTTTATGTATTTCTGACTGTCTGAAAAGCGGTTATAAACTTTCTGGAAGGTTTAACGAATTCTGAAAACTTTGATGGAAGCTGCTGAAGTCACTGCGTTCGAATTTAAGAGCGGAGAGCAACAAAAAGAAACTGCAGATTCTTTTATCGACTAAATAAGAAAGGATTCCGGCTTCATTATTCTAGCATTGTTCGACGGATGCCTTTCAAGGAGAAGCAGAAAGAAATCGTTTCAATAACGATCGCGAGACAATAAAAAATATCTTTACCTTGGAATAAAAGCGATCGATGTCGAAGAACACGGACGCGATGTCGTTTCATTTCACGCGCAAGAAAGGAAACGGACGTTAAAAGCTTGGCTCGACGACGTGAACCGGTCCGCGAATCGCGGTGTTAACTTAATTAAACGCAATTTTAAATTGGCGTCGCAGAGAGAAAGGTGAATGGCGTGCCTTCTGCCATCGATTAATTTGCTAATTTATAACGAGGAAATTTTCCGATGCAGACTAATTGAAACGTTGCCGCGTCACTGAGAATAATGTCCGCACTTGTTCCGTTTATTTCGTTGTGGCATACCACGAATTCTCTCTCTCTCTCTCTCCCATTTGTAACACGGCAAAACAACTTTTGCATAATTTCGAGTTTGCTGAATATTATATTTTATGTACACCACATGCGTCCCGTTTTTTTCATTCGATTTACGTCGGCAGACAGTTCTCTGCGACGAATAGAGCGTGTAATCAACCTTTTTAAACACGGATCAGAATCAGCAAAATCATACGATAAATTATTATTTAAAGAGGAGTGGTCACACCTGCCTACGTTGCGAATATTTATATTTTTTTATTTGCGGGGTAAACTCGTCATATTGTTACACATGGAGTTCGAAGGAAATTAGTATAATTAAACTGCGGATGTTTATTGTACGTTTGTTGAAAATTTAAATAAGGGAAAATGTGAAAATGTGAAAATGTACATAATGTGCAAAAAAGCATACAAAGTATCCAAAGTAAAATATGTACTCGTAATAATATTTCGAGGGTGAAAGAAATTTCTATTCATGTTCCAGTGGTTTAGCGTTATGATCGTGTGAGTATGAATTTCTATAAAAATTCACAGTCCAACCATAGTACACGCCACAGAGAGTGTTTCCAAGATGATAAGGATTAACTAAATAGATCATTTTCTGACGAACGAAGTTGGTACGATTAATCATTCAAGAGCTGTATACAATATATTTGAATGTTTCTTCAAGTATATGATAAGTACAATATGTAAGCAAAATATTAGAATGTAAATTGAAGAATATACAACTTAAAACATGTTCTTGAAATTGAAATGTCAGGCAAATGTAACCAATGTGACCGAGAGTGCTAAAAATTCTCACTTTTATTCATTTTCCATTTCTTTAATATACCTCGAAGAAGGATTTTTCTATGAAATACCATTACCACGGGATAACATAGATATATCCTGGAAAGATTATCGAAGAATTTCTATGGTCCCTTTTGTTCGAAGATAAAAATGTCGTGTATGATGAACGGCTGTGCTGATACGTGCAAGTTTTATTTCGTTGACGTTTTGTCTCACAGACATAGAACAAGCAAACCAATTTTGCATAAAATTTATGGGTGGAGGAACATCCTCTCTAGAGAAATTCCCGTCTGCATTTCCGGCGAGTGCTCGTAGAGATAGATTTTACAAGGGAATAAGGTTGTCTTCTTAAAAACTGCTGCGTTTACAGCGAAGTAAAAGCAGGTCGCTTTTACGATAGAGCGAAGGAAACGAAAGATGATTTGCGTTTCCTCTAATCATCGATTCGTTCGTAAAAATGTTAAGATTCTTAGAACAGAATAACTCGGATAATTACGTCTCATGAGGTGTTCATCCGTGTTCTCGCGTTTCTCCTCTCTTTTTTCCCGCCCCATTATTTCTCGCTGAAACAAGGAGAAATAATATATTTTGCGAAGAGCAGGATGGAAATATCGTCAAAATTGTCTCCGTAGCGTCGCAACACAGGAAATTCGTGCAAGATCAAGAAACAAATTTCACAGAAATTGCTCGTGACACGGATTGCGAAAAAATCGAATCAGGTCAAAGGAGTAGTTGCTTCTAAGGCGCTGTTTGACTGGTGCTACTAAAAATCGAACGACGCGGGAGGAAAAAGTTTCTTACGGTTTATTTTTCTATCGAGACGCCGAGCTATTCAGCTCCGACTTTCTTTGACGCTCGTTCCTCTTCCATCTCCTCTTCGTAATAATGCAGAGAAGTAATCAAACGATACAAAAACCCGAGTATACGTAAAGTCTATTATAGAATGCCTGTGTGATGTTCGATTTTTCGATTGGTCGATGGTCTGATTTTTTGCCAAGTGACATTAAAACGCATTGACCAGCCCCTCGCATTAAAATAATTCCTCAGTATGCGGCATGTGCGTGTGCTCGGCCCCCAGCCTATAAACCAGTATCCCGTCCGATGGTGGACGATAATTTATATCCGGGAATAGAGGATCCCCGATAGAATCCAAAGAGAGAGAGAGAGGGAGAGAGAGAGAGAGAGAGAGAAGAAAAGAGAAGAGGAGGAGAGAAAGAGAGGGGAAATTTACACAGCAGTCGTAGTAGATCGACGCGCTTCAGATCTCCCCTGCTCGCGCTCGAGAATTTGTGCAATCTGATTTCGGGCTGAGAGAGGGTTATTCCTCTCCATTATTTCATTAAAAGGCTGAATCATGCCTGGTACGACCATACAGCCGATTTCCACAATTGAAATTTTCCACTAAACGTTAACTACGATCCACTGACTCGTATGGAAATTTTTTTTGGACATGCGGTGACCTTTGTCGATTTTAAGAGCACCGAACAAGAAAATGATAATTCTCGTTCATTTCGCAGATGGCAAAAAGATAGCGCGCGAGACCTTTCAGCGGTCGATTCGCATGGAAAATCACGCTTAATCGTGGCGCGATAATGTGATGTATCACGAAATATCTTCGCGGATGACGTTCCTAGAGACGATATTTCAAACCGGCTCGTTTATCAAACTTTTTTGCAATAAGACAATGCCGCATCTTAACGGCTCCTTGACTAATATTTTCACCGTGATTAATGTCTTCCGAGATATTATTCCTCTGTGCGCTGGCTACGATGCTTTCCGTTTTTCTCCTCCTTTTTCACTATCGTAAGTACTTGCAATCCCTCACGTAATCATTTTAAGTTACGTTAAAATGGAATGGCTTATTTAATTCGAATGAAATGTTAAACTTTTCGGACAGAGTGGAACTTTATTTACACGGACGAAATGTTACTTGTAATTAGTGCCTGATTAATTGAAGTTTATGATTCACAATCTTCCTTGTTATCTCAAAATATATATTTTGTGTCAGAGTTAGTTAAACTTTGCAGGTTGCCTGCTTCCACTATGAGTCTGTTTGTCTCCCGCAGATTTATATAAACGGAGTTCTACTGTATCTCGCTAGAGAAAGGTGCCAAGAGTATAATTAAAAATATTTCATGGAAAAAATACTTTAAAAGAGCAAGAATTGGAAAATAAGGGAGGGGAAGAAAAAAGCACTTCGAGTAAGTGACAAGCGAGGTAGAAATACGCTTTTTCCAATCACAAGTTCATCAAAAAGCGCTTTGAAAATCGCGGTAGCTGGCAGCGAAAACGTGTGACGAGCCTCGGGACGTTGCGGCTAGCGCTCGCCGCGTCAACCAAAATTGAAGAAAAAGCGTGACGAAACGGTGAAAATGCAAATGACAATGGTTGCTCTCTCTCTTTGCCTAAGTCTTTACCGAATAATAGCGTATTTTTCAATTAAACACTACCTATTTTTGTTTCCGCGCGACGCAGCCCGACACAAAGGGTGTTCCATTAATTCGAGATCACTTTGTCCTCTCTTCTAGAGCGAACGCACGATGAAACGAGGCGACGAGAAGAGAAAAGGTCGATCAGGTCCGTACAGTTAGAAAAACTGCGACGACCAAGCAGGAAGCTCGCGAGCATTAAGTTTTTGTATCGTTGGAGATTGGCGATGGCATGAAGCTCGCGCTGCGAAGTACAAAGAGCCCTCTCTTTCTCTATCCATTCGGGCTTCTTCGTTTCTTTCTGCCTCTGTAGCTATCCAGTGGGCTGAATGACGGGCTATGAGCTCTCTTGCAAGGCATATGTTAATAGAACACGCGTGATATCTGATGAGTGCGAGAGTTAAGTACTCCAGCAGCCAATTTCCACGGAAATCACGGTAGCATCGAAATCAGAAATAATTAGTTCCTCGAGACGATCGGTTCGTGAACAGCTTCGGACCAATAACCCGTTTATATCGCTTCGGAGGAAGAGATGATGGACGTTCAGCCTTTTTTCCTTCGAATATTTCGAGTGATACTCGAGCGCTATTAATGGAAGTGCTGTAACGAAGTATTGATATGATTTTATTCACTAATCCACACGCGCCGTTGAACGGTTTGCGATAACGTTATTTCTGATATTATATCGTCGTTTTTCATTACACGCACGTACGACTTTCCAAACACGGGATACCGTTCCATTCGATCGAGCACGAGAGAACGTTGCAATGTTGTTGGTGAAATTCTGATGATTTTGCGCCAGATGTAGTTTCAACCAGCATGTCCTGCGTACATACACACGCGAAGCATCGTCAGCTTTGATTCGCATTTACGAGCTGACGCGCTGAGCTGCTTTCGCCACTTCATTACGATATTTGATCATGCAAAGCCAACGTATCGACGAATCTGCAAATTCCGGACGGAGGAGCGCAGTGTCTGCGAGTCTGAGCAGACTTTTCGCGGTTTCCAGTTACCAAGCTAACGATGCCGTCCCGGGATTTCCAGTGTCTCTGCTCGTTTTGTTCGAGCTCGTCGATATTCATGTTTAGCTGCATCTAGATATCTGGAACAACACGTTAATTAAAAAATAGGTAAAGAAGGGAGTTATTTTGAGGAGACGTGTTCGTCGCGCAACAATACCAGCTATTTTATCAACAATTCCTACGATTCCGCTACCATTTTCGTTGCCGACGACCAAGTTAAATTAGATTCGAGAACTTCAGAATTCAATTAAGAAACAACAACAAAGTTTTCTCCGCTGAATCCAGGTGGAAATTGAAGGAAAATATGTATTTTTTCGCATTCGAATCATCAGTTGCACTTGAAATTGCAGAAGACAAATCAAGAGCGTGTGCAAAACTACGAGAGGGTGATAAAATCGCGAGTGGATATACGAGACACGGGAACGAATTTTTCGCAATGAAAACATCTTTTCGCATCGTCGTCGTTTCTTTCGTGAAAAAGAGAGCTAGCTTCTGCTAATTTAATTCCGATAAAGTGGCAGACGACTTAATGCGATCGCCTCTGGAGCGTCTTAAAGTTTCGAGAAATAGCTAGTTTCGCGACAAGGACGGGTAGTATCTTTCCCCTTCGTTCGTAACTCTTTGTCGAAGTAAGATAAATAAAAAGAAGAAAGAAATAATGATTTCTCAGCTTTTTAATTGAATTTATTTCTCTCGCTCCGTTGATTCGTGTCGCCATTGACACGATTTTCCTCGACGAAACACGCGTTCGTTGATGCGTTCGTTTAATATCGCACGGAGATATTTTACAATATCGTAACGTTAAACGATCTTACATTGGAAATTTCTCGGAAACTGAACGCAGTAGTAGTAGAATAATAATAATCAACGGAGGCTTCAACATCCACTCTGTAAAAAGGAACATTTAATTTGCTCTATAAAAGACAGCTATTCCGAATGAAAATTATACGAGAGAAAAGTTTGAAAAGTTATTAACGTCGCAACACAGGGGTATGTGTTCGACAAATTCTTTTGTCAGAATTGATAATAGTAGCTGTAACAAATTTCCACGCAGTTGAAAAATTACCACCCAATCTCGTTTCGTCAGTATCGATGGATTTTTAGAACAAAGTAATCCGTCAAGCGTTTTCGAAAATGAATTCCAAGATGAGGCAAATAGGATAGGAATTGGTGAGTATGGACAAAAGCCAGGTTCTTCGAACAAAGGGGTTACAAGTGACACGAGGGACGGCGTTTCACAATGGCCTGCGGCCACGAACGGCACCATTGGCGATCGTATGTCGAAGTATAACCAAGATACGAGGGAAAGGGGAAACACTCACGACGGGTAAATACGAGTAATAGTTACCTAACTCGGGACCGACAGATATGGGGGACACTTATGAAACAAAGTAACGTCGCATTAAGTCCCCTCTAGCTTCGCGGCCAGCTTTGTCTGGGGCAAACCCTCCGGTTCCCTTTCATCTGTTCATCGACCACTCCCGCATTATCTCGCGAGGAAATGCCTCTCGGAGATCGTTTGCGCGTGGTACACGCGATAAGCGGCCAGGAGGACTCTGGAAAGTATGGAAAAG